TGTTTGGTTTTCGTCCAGTTTTTCTTTTCTTTTCTTCGATTTTTTTTCGAATCGAGATTGGTTTCGATCCATTTTTTTTTTTTTTTTTTGTTGTCAATGTTTGTTCAGTCAGTAAATGTTTGTATTTTGGATTTTCTTTCGGTGTGTGTATGTTTTTTAGATCAACAAAGAAGTTGATCAAATTCAGAATCATGAATGCGCGAAACATTTACGAAAAAAAAAATTTTGAAAAATGAAAATCAAATTTCTCTCGATTTGATTTGATTTGATTGAATATACTATAATCATTTTGGTAAATAAATAATTTTTGTCATTTTTTTCTTCAAGTTGAATATAACTAAAATGAATTTTATAATTTTTCAATGATGACTATGTTTAAAAGGTGAGATCATTCAGTTTTTCATTTTGGTTTTCAGTCAAGTGCTATTTTCAAATAAATTCCTGTGCCTTGTGCAATAATAATAATCGACAAGCACAAATCAATAATAATAATAATGATGATTTTTGAACAAAAAAAAATCACATCCTATTGATGTCTAATGATTTTTATGTGACCAGAAAAACAGAAACAAGAAGCAGAAACAAAAAAGGCCTGATTGAGAGAAATATTGATCATCATTATCAGCAATTTTTTTTCTGTCTCAATTCTTGTCGAATCACTGAATGTTTCAATTGCAATATGGTTATCCCAATGTAGTTATTTTTCAGTCGTTCGGGTATTTCTGCAATTTGTTTTCATAGCACGTGCCAAAAAAAAATGCCTTTCCATTAATTCGTGTGTGTGTGTGTGATTCGAATGATTATTATCATCATAATCATCATTATTATATTTTTTTCGAAATGAATTGATCTTTGATCCCCCAATGAACAAACTGAGAAGCTGTTAATTTTTATTAATTTTTTTCACTGTTGATCATTATTTTCTTTTGTTGAAACGCTTCTATTATCATCATTTTGGTAGCCGCGTATTTTCTATTGATTACAATCAATGAACGATTCTCTCATTGACAAATTGATTAATTCGACAAAGATTTTTTCCCATTCTCTCTCTCTCTCTCTCTCTCTCTCTCTCTCTCTCTCTCTCTCGCTATTCAAAACGACCGATTAATCAGCAAGTCACATACATAGATCCCGAAATTGTTGTTGTTGTTGAAATTGATATAGCAACAACAACAACAACAATAACCAACAACAACAACAAAAAAAAAACATCTGTTTCAATCTAGACTCTAGATTCTAGAGACTTAATATTGAAAGTTTTTTGTTTTGTTTTCTGTTTCAAAAACAACCGAAAAAACAAAAAACATACATCTCTCTACAACAAAAAAAGACTTTGTAGTTGATATTTTTTGTTGCTTTGCTTTCCTCTATCTATTCTCGATCTCGATTTTGTTGGTTTACTGTATCACACATTCACATTGCCATCATCAATCCAAATGACAAATCATCAATCTTGTTGGCTGTTTGAATGTTTCGAGTTCTGTTAATACTACGTTTGGTATTATACCCAAACAGCATCCACACAACATTATCAATATCATTTTATGGCTGGTAATGTTAATCAACGTTGGTTATCTTCCAGTGTGATTTTCTCTGTTGATCTAACTGATATTTGTCTTTATATTCTTCCGTTTTGTTTGTTTGTTGGTTTTTTTGGTTGTTGTTGAAAAATCACAGTAACTAAATACTTCAAACAAAAACTTGTTATAATTTTTCTATTTATCAAGTTCTTTTCTCGGAAAAAGAGAAAAAAAAAGGATATATTCACATTCTTGGTCAAAGCACTTGAATAATTGGCGACAACAACAAATGAAAATCGGATAAATCAATATATCAACCAAGCTATAGCAAGCAAAAGAGAAAACAAGAAAACCGCTGTTGTCAACTAAAGATAGATCTTAATGTCCATTTGATTAATTGTTTATCACTTGATTTCTGGGGAAAAATAAGCAAGAGAGAGAAAAATTCTTTTCGAAACTCGAATGATTTCAAATTTTTGGATATTTAAAACCTTCGAGAAAAAAGACAATCTTGATGATCAATTTGCTCTAATTGATTTGACAATAGTGATGGGAAATGTAGAGAAAAAACTAATTACATTTACCTTGTATCAAGTTTTCGATATGTTTGGTATGTTTGGATTCGAACGAGAAAAAAAAATTAATTTTCAAAATTGCTTTTCTTCTTCACATTTTTTGGCTTCCGAATTTCTGGGTGAAAACAAAAAATGAATGATTGAATGAATGAAACATCAAAACATGAAACATGAACAAAAACATATCTTGTGTTTCCAATCGTAACAATATTGTATTTCAATCAATGATAAATGTTTGATGATAACCAAAATCAAAAGAAAAAATAAGATTTTGTTGTTGTTTGAGATACGCTATATTGATGATGAAAAGTTTCCTTTACTCATTTTTTCCTGTGATCTTTTCATATATGACATGTCAAAATATGAAATGAAAAATTTGATTTATATTTTTTTGGCAATTACCTTTGTCATCACCTGAAATGTTTTTCATTCATTCATTTTTCATTTCCCAACCTGAAATTAACCTTTTTTTTGTTGTTGTTGATTATCAGTGTTTGTAAATGAAATACATTGAGTGTTGTTTACAAGTCGGTTGTTTTTCTTCTTCTTCTTCTTTCGAAATGATTTATTTGGCTCACTCTTGCTTGAACAAAATGAAAACTAATATACTTTAATCCTGCCATTGCAATCCATCATCATTTTTCGACAACAACGATGATAGTGATGATGAAAAATGAAAATTGAAACACATACCTTTTACACACACATCATTCTCAGAAATCGAAGCTTTTCTTTTCAATGGTTCTTTAGTTGTTGTTGTCAACAATGTTGCTGCCGAATTTTGTATAGATTTTTTCTTCTTCGGGAAAGATTTTTTAGATTAGAAAACAGAAAAAACATTCAACTTTCAATATTGAAAATTTTGAATTGAATTTTCTCAATAGCAAACAAACAAACAAACTGAAAAACCATTGAAACAGGAACCAGGTTTTGATCTTGATGATGATATTCTTCGATTCTGATGATGATGATAAATATAGAAAAAATAAGGTGTGAACTTTTATGCAAAAAAAAACATTTTACATTGTCGTTGATGATGGTAACATGCGTGCTCGTCGTTCATCATGATGATTTCACTTTATTGAATTGAATGTGTGATATTTTTTTGCACTCACTGCTGCTGCTGCTTTCGTTTTTCATAATCGGTTTGTCCAAGCTGCGTTTGTTTGTCGTTTGTTGTTGTTGATGATGGTGGTGGTGGCTGGAAAATGCATCACGAAAGATTACGTGATCAACGATCATTTTTTCCTATTCGTTTCTTTGGCTGTCCATAATTAATCTGGCTGTACATTTTTTTTGGCTGAAATGTTTGTTGTTGAATAAAAAACATTCACACACACACATAGGTGATAGAATGGAAAACATTTTGTTTTTTTTTCATTGAAAGTAAAAGATTCTATTGATGATGATTGAAAGGAAACTTTGATGAATTTCGATTAACAAATTGATTATTCAGTTTGATTTTTGAACTAATTTCATTGGTTTTCAATTGAATTTTTTCAACAAAACTAGCTCATAACTTGAAATAATAATCCAATCATAATTCAATCAATCAAACATTGATTTTGGCTATTTCTATTGTTTGGTTAGTTAGGTTGATTGATTTGGATTTTCAAAAGAAGAAAAAAAATCGAAATTAAATTGAATCACCAGCCAACCAACCAGATTTTTTAAACATTTAAACATGTGTAATCTCTTCATGTAATCCTGATTGATGATTGATATTTTTTTCTGCTTTGTTTTTTTTTTGCTTTAAAGAATTTAACTTGCATCGTTTATCTTTGTTTTGTAATATTATTTATTTATTGAATTAAAATAAAGATTAATTTTCATTTTTTTTACCTTGATTTTGTCTATTTTTTCTTTCAAAAACTCTCTAGTGTAACTGTAACTGGAAATCAAATGAATTCAATGGGACCATTAGGCATTACGATTGGTCATGATAGTCTAAATGTTTGGCAATTGGTTACAGTAGAATTATTGTTAACATTTGTTGTTGTATTCACAACATATGCAACTATGGATTCTAATCGTAAATCATTTGGTAGTGATGCATTATCAATTGGTATTGCCTATTTGATTACATCATTGACTGGGGTAAGTTTTTTTTTCGTTTTATTATTTCTGAAAACAAAATTCTTTCCTTTTCGTTTATTATTTTAAAGTGTCATGATTGATCGAGATTTACGAAAAAGCAAAGAAAGCAAAGTAGTGAAAAATCCCATTGGCATAGGCGATTTATATCTGACCAGTCAGCCAGCCAACCAAGAAGATAGATAAAATTTGTTGGGCTAGTTTAGTTCAGTTAGTTAGTGGCTTGTTAGATAATAAAAAATTGAAAAAAAACCATTGATTTTCGTATCTCTCTCTCATTTGTTTGACAGACCTAATAATTATATCACATCATTATCGATCTGTGATTGATATATATTTTTTGTTTCGAAAATCAAAATCAATTTAAGTCAATAAATGGTCAACAAATGGTGGCTATAATGATAATGATGATATAGTAATCGAATGGCCATTTCAAGTTCATTTCTCTCTCTTTGATAATCGTCATTATCATTATGAAGTTGATGATAATGATAACCATTTTATTAATCCACACTGTTCGAGAATCAATCTTTTTTCTTTCTCTTAATGGCCTTATAAGTTGTTGTTTCAATTTCAAGTTGTTCAAGTTGTTGTTGTCTACAGTATTTCTTCGGATATCTATCGATGATTTTGAAACAAATTAGAACATCATCATCGTCCATCTCTCCCTTGGGTGTGATGACCAATTGGTTTTTTTTCATTTTATCACTAATACTACCGTCAACCACCCACACATCCTATCATCATCGATATAATCGATAACGATAATCGATTATATCGATGATGATGAACCAAACCTAAAATTTTTTCCTTTCTGTGATTGCACATATCATTATTCAATCACATCCCAAAATTCTCATGATAATATTTTGTGTTAAGTGAATTGAGATATCAAAAGAGAAAGAGAGCTTTGTTGCTGTTATTTCTCCCATTGAACATTACCGGAACTTGTAAAAAACACACTGTCAATTGTATTTTCTGGCATCATCATTATCATTTTTTTCATAGTTTGATGGGTATCATATATTTTTCACCAAATGTAATCGATTATTTCTCTAACTACTCACTCTTGCTCGTTGTTGTTGTCTATTTCCTTTTTTTTCACACAACCCTTATGGAGTTTTTTTTTGTTGTTAACCCAGAGAGAAAGTCAAAGGAGGAAATTTTTTTTTATTCCATTTCGATTTCGATTATTATTGTTATTTCAGTTGACTTTTACAGTTTATATGTCTGGTTAGTGTTTGTTATACCAAATTCAATTGTATATCGCACACGCATATTGATTATTGGACATCAAAAATACAAAGTCAGTGAGAGAGAGAGTTTGGATCGATTATTGCCTTGCTTTTTTGGGAGATACAGACAGACATTTATATTCGATTCTTTTTTTTTGTTGGTTGGTTGGTTGGTTGGTTGAATAACCATATTCAATTCCTTATTGTCTATATATATTTTGGAATGTGAAATTTCGTTTCTTTTCTTCTTTTCCTTTGGATTGTAGCTTAGTATATGTGTATGGGTGCCACAAATCGATCCGCTATCCATCATCCCAACAAACGAATAAAAAACCATGAATATTCACTTATGGAAAAAAGAATAAAATTCTCTTCCATTGTTTACATGTCGAGCTAACAATTTTTTCTTTCTGTTTCTCTCTTTTTTTGACATGGACAGCGAGCATAGAGAGATAAAAAACGAAAAGAGAATGGAAGAAATAAAAATCACAAGTTCATATCTTGGATATTATTATTTTCTTCTTTTTATTATTTTGGTTGAATTCCGATTCAAATCATTCAAATAACATTAAAGAGATGAGAAGAAAAAATGAATATGAAATTCTTGTTGCAAAAGAGCCTATGATTAGTTGTTATCAGAATATTTTGTCCTATATGTTTTGAAGGAATCGGTATTGATTTCTCAATGGAAGAGATGAAAAGACATGCACATCATTTCACATGTATAAGATTAAGTTATTTTGCTGTTTTCAAACTGTACAACACAGCACACATTTGAAAATCATCATCATCATTTTTCGTTTTGGCATAACACTCCGTTATCTCTAACTCTCTCTCCCTCTCTGTTTAGGCAAAATGTCAAATAATCATTGTTGTTGTTATCTGGTTATGACAAAATTTGTAACCATTATGGAAAAAAACTTGAATGCTTGAAAGTGTTATTCTTCGGGATTTTCTTTTATATATTTCACGTGATGTAATTCGAATCAAATTGATCGCACACAACAACAACAACAACGAAAAAAAAAACATTAAGTATTCATGCTTGAATGGATTCTAATTGAGAACCAAACAACAGAATTTGAAAATTTCTAAAGAACCAAAAAAATTTCATATTGAATGTGTGTGTGTGGCTTTTTGGTTTCACTGAAAATACCAAAAGAAGAATCACCAAGAATTTCAATGGTTGATAGATACACACACACACACAAAGGATCAAATCAATGAAGAAAGATGAGATTTCCTTTTTTCATTTCAAAGATTGATTTCAAATTGTTGTTTGATTCTTGGCGATTTTCGGAAAGTTTCTTGAAAATTAAATTAAATCATCATCATCATCATTATCACAGTATTTATTGTCCGTATAATTATTACTGTTTTGATTCCAATGTTTTTTCATTCATTTTGTCAAAATTCTTGTCAAATTTTCGATGATGATGATTATGTATATGGATCATTGATTCTGGGTTGTTGTTCAAAAGAACAACAACAACCCAGAATTTTCTATTTCTCGATTGTTATCATCATCATCGTTCCGACAAACATTTCAAATTCTCCATTTGGTCATCGAACAAACGAATGAAAAAAAACCATCAATATCGAATTGAAATATTGGGAATATGTACAAAAGAATTTTTCTCTAACTTCAAGAATTCTGGACTGTTGGAAAATCGTCTTTCTTCTTTACTTTCGGTCTTTTCCCTCCCTAGTTTTTCAAAAAAAAAGATGCATTATCCATTTATCATTGAAATGGCCCGAGAAATATTTTCATTTTCCATTCCCATTCATTCATTCATTCTCTGGGTTTCCAAGTTTATTTTCTTACTGTTCATTTTTCTCTTCTCTTCAATTCAATTCAATGATGTATTGTCATCATCATTCGCTGTTTGAATGAAATGAAATGAATGATTTGGACAACAACCATATGATGGTTCATTATACGCACACAGTTCATTCATTCAGTGACTTTTTCATTTCTTTTCTTATTATTTTCCTATTTATACTTGAATAGAGAAATCCTTTCTTCGTCATTCAACAACGAAAAAAGAAAGAATTCTTCCTCTCTCCCAGTAATGATGTTGATCATCATCATCAAAAAGATCTTTTGGCCCTTGGATTCTTTCATGATGATCATCAATCGAATGATATGATGATGATCATGATGTGATGATGATGAACATCAGAATTTGATTCTGATACCGAGAAAATTTATCTTCATTTTAAAATAATTTTCTCCTTCTCTTCAATTCGTTTGTTCGGCTTTCAATATCTCATTTTCACTCGAATATTTTTTGTTGTTTGAAACATTTTTTTCTCCTTTTTGATAACATTTTTCTATTTCCAGAATCATCAATGAATTGAAACGAAAGAAATGAAGGAAAAGAAATTAAATGTTATTCTTTCGCTTCTTTCTCCTTTCGATAATATCTAATGATTTTCGATTTTGATTGAAATTCTTCATTCTGTTGTTTGTTGTTTGTTGTTTGATTTGGACAATTATTAGGTCAATCATTAATGGGTCCATTTTCTTTTCTTGATTCTTGATTCGAGAATCAAAAGTCAAGAAAAAAACTACCATTCCTTTTCTTCTAAATGGATACCCATATAACGTTTTTTCTTTTTTTTTCCAATTAGTGAACAAAAAAACCTAAGATTTTCTCTCTATTTTTTTTGTTGTTGAAAATTGGCAAACAATAATGAAAATCAAAAACTTTTTTCCAGATTCAATCAAGCTTCTGTTACCCACGGAAAAAAAATTTGAAATTTTCATTTAAAAAATCGATATTAACCCAACACCACCAGCATGATGGTTTCCTTTTACTTTTTTTTCACTGGCTGTCTTGGACATATGCATATTATTAAAAAAAAAAGATTTACAGAATGTAATTAAGAATCCCTAGATCAGAACATTGCGGGTTAATGATGATGATGATGATGGCCTGCCTCTTTGCATTAAAAAAATATGAATATAATTATTTCTCCAACAACAACAGCGACAACAAACTTTAATGATTTTGCAGCAGCATTTGGTTTTTTTGGCGCCCAAATGGTGCCCGAACGATGAAAAAAAATTGATTTTTTTCCTTTTAAATCAATTCAGATTTTGTTTGGAAAATTTTTTTTTCAAAAACAATTTTTTCCCGCATAACAAAGTTATGCAAAGTTTTTTTTTCGTGTGTACAAAACATTCCGAAACCCGGGATGAAAAAATTCATTCCAAATTGACAAATGTTAACCAATGTGCGATTTGGTGGGTGTTTGATCATTCAAGTCCATAAATTATTTGTTTTGAACAGAAAACAAAAATAGATGAAATTAACTGGATACATTATTTTAACCCCCCCAAAAAAGATAATGATGGTGATGGCTACAGTGGCAAATGAATTGATTTTTTTCATTCATTTGATGAAAAACCGATGATAATTAATGAATGAATGAATTCACCACCACAATTCATAACCACCACCATGTTTTTATCATTGTCGTTTTCGGGTTTTTCGGTTTTTTTTTGTTTTTGAATTTGAATTTCGAAAATACCATACTGTGTGTGTGTGTGTGATAGAATCAGATAGATATTCTGTGTTTTTCCGGGTAATCAAATTTTTTTTCTTCCAAATGTTGGTGGTGATCATTCGGGGAAAAAAAGTTCTGGTTTTGAATCGCTTCTTTTTTTTGTCTGGTTCAAAACATGACCAGCAAAAAAAGAAAATCCATTATTCATTTGGGTGTTTTTTCATAATTTTCATTAAAAAAAACTTGTGAACTTTGGTTTGGAAACAGAATTCCCAAAATTCATTCATTAAATGGTCCGTTTTGCGCTGAAATAATGATGATGATTATGAGAAAATTTCCTTCTGTTTTTGTTTCATATAAGGTGTGTTTTCGGTTGAAAAGAAAAAGATTAATGAATTTTCATAAACAAAAATTCTGTGTTGAAATTTTTAACATCTTTGTTAATGATGAATAAGGGTAGAACCAGAAAAACGAATTTACCCAATTTTGTTTGCCCATCCTTGTTTTGCTATCCAACATGGCTCCTTATTGGATTTTTTTGTGTTTTTTGTTTCGAAAATACCAGGTAGACTTATACTGGGTAAGTTTTTATCTTGTGCCTGCCTGGAGCATTGACATTTGGTCATGACATTAATTACTCACTTACTTACTGTGTGACTATGACTATAATTTACTGTTATGCTTTTTCTTTTTGTGTGTGTAAAAAAACCTAAACAAAAACGAAAATCGATATAAGATTTTTCAAATTCATTTCGTTTTTTTTTTAGATTTGTTATTATTGCTTTATTACAGCAGCAGCGTGTGTTTGTGTATATGTCGGATTCAATGTATCGAAATAAAATAAAAAAGCAATGGAAAGATAGAGAGATCGAGTGTCACATGTCAAATACAGATAACGAGAGAAAGAATTTTTGTTTTTGTTTTTTCGTTTGCTGTTGTTGTAGTTGAGATTTTGTTGTTGTTGTTGATATTGATGCTTTGATTGTAAAATGAATAATTCCCTATTGAATTCATTTTTTTTCACTGAATCGTAAATTTGGTAACACAGAATTGGAATTTAAAGATGTTTGCATCCCAAAATGAAATGTTTCCAATGTTTGATCCAATGTGTGATGGTTCTTTTTTTGTTGAATATCAAAATCCTGTGAATACCAAATTGAACCTGCCACTTTTTTTTCGATTTCTTTCTTTCTATTTTTGCTTTGAATTTTCTTTCTTTCTTTGTTGTTATTGTCAATTCGTTCCCTTCAAAAAGCACCAAAAACGACATATTTTCAATTCTATTTTCATATTTTTCTTCTTTCAAAATTTGTTATGAGGTTTCAGATTACAACCTACAATGTTGGAATTAATTTTTTTCCATTTTGGTGGATTGTTATTACCGAGAAAAAAGAAAAAAAACAAAGCGAACAACATACAAACATCAAAATCTCCTTTTTTGGGAGATTTTCAAAAAAAAATTGTCCATATATTTTTCACCGTTATTGAATGATTTTCGATGTTATTTGAATGATTTCGCAATGTGTAACCATTATTATAGATAATATTCAGAAAAAGTCCTTAGTTTTTTTTTGGATCATTATTATTATCATTATTATTATTGTGATGATCATATATTTCGTGGAAAAACAACAACAAAAAAACATATTCCATTCTGCTGAATGAATGTAATGGACATATATAAAGAATAGCCACTAGAATATTAATATTGTATGGCAAAAAAAACAAAACAAAACAAACAAACATTTGAAACATAAAAATCTACAATTCACCTACACACTTACTACATCTCAATACACAAATTGAATAATCGTAATGTTTTTTCATTTAATGTTTTCTTTCTGTTTTTCTTTTCTATCATCATATTGACATTCTTTGGTTTATTATTCTGTATACAGAATCTATTGACTATACAAACACACATTCGATTTTTTTTGCAATAGAAATCGAAGAAACAAACGAAAAAAAAAACCGATTGACAAATGTTTGGTGATAAATTAAGTTATAATAATAATAATAATAATGACTATAAAACGAATGACAACAACAACAACAAACTACTTTTGTCTACTTTTATTTCTTTTGTTTATTGTTGTTGTTGTTGTTGTTTGGTTGTTACAAAAACATCCGTTTCAAACAACAACAACAACAAGCCAATCTTATCCATATGTGTGTTTGACTGAGTTGTCTGTGTGTGTGTGTGTAAATTATGATTGAACCATTATTATATAATGAAAACAGATGAGGAATATTGTTTTTGGTTCCATGAATGAAAACTAACCAAGAAGAAAGAAATATATCTTGATACCGAAGACGAAGAAGAAAAATTTTCACTTTATTTTTGTTTCCCATTTCATTTTGCTTGTTTCTTTCTTGATGATGATGATTACAGTGTGAATAATGAATTTTTCTTTTTCTTTTATTTTCTAACCAAAAATATAGTTACCGGCAAGTGGTGCATCAATGAATCCAGCTCGTACATTAGGTCCAGCATTTGTTATGAATCGTTGGCAAAATCATTGGGTAAGTTTTGAAATCAAACAAACAAACATTGTAATAATGCAAAACACATTTACGCACGCATATTTTATTCACCAAATTCACCAAAATTCAGCTTTCGATATGCAATTTTTCATTCAAAACAAAAAAAAATAGTCAAATATTTTTTTCCCCCATAAATAGCCCAAATCGTTATCGGAATTTTTGTCATAAATAAATTTTTTATCCGTGCAGAATTTACTTGGAAAAAAAGGACCGAATCTTCGGTTTTGATAATAACAAAATGTTTTTTGTTTGCAACATTAAAATACTTGGTTTGCGTTTGTTTTCTTCCCAAAAAGTTTCTTTCTTTCTTTTCTCCATTGATGAACAACGACAGAAAAAAAAGATGAATAGTTTTCGATAGCCAAAAAAAAACCAAAGCAAAATCGTTGGCCATTGGTCATCCATACATACATACATAGAATCATCATTATTTCGCGTTTATTCTTGAATAGATATTCTTTTTGGGGCTTTGACAAAACGATTAGAATCTGGTTGTGAATCACTTTTTTTTCTCTTTGATTCATTCATTATCGTTTTGTCTGTCTGTAGAATTCTGCAGAATTCTTCTATGATGCTAGTATATGATGACCACCAACTGTCACACACACACACACTGCTAAACCAATATTTTTTGTGCTTCTTTGGATACGATTATTATTAAGGATTCTTCTTCTTCTTAAATCAGCCATGGAAGAAAAACTTTTCTTCTTCTGGTTGCCTGATTGCATAACATCACATTTTTCGGTTGTTGTTGTTGTTGTTGGATGCGTTAACCAAAGTTACAAGTTTTTTTTGATGCATCATTTAACATTTTGTTGTTTTTGTTTAGTCGTCGGAAATAAACATTTTTCTGCTGCTTTTTTTCGTTTGTTTGTTTGTCTACAAGAAACAGAAGAAAATCTTCTTGAAAAAGTTGATCAACAACAGCAAATTACAATCAAGGTCCAAAAAAAATCTCTTAAATGGTCCATTTTTTTCCTGGAGAAAATCTTTGGCTTTTTTTTCTTCACACAGATTATTTAACTTGCTTTGATTCGATTTGATTTGTCTGTTTTTTTCTTAATCTGTTTTTCCTATGTTTTTCTTTATTTTCTTCAAAATCTAAATAGGTTTATTGGGCTGGACCAATATCTGGAGCAATAATTGCAGCAATTATTTATGAATTTATATTTGATACATCAAGGCGTGGTATATCATCAACATCGATAAATAATTATTATCAACATCAACAACAACAACATCCACATCATCAACAACAACAACAATTAACACAATATCAACAAGCATCTTATCTTCATCATCATCAGCGTTTGGCTGCTGGTTCTGGTACAATGATTGGTGGTGGTAAATCTTCATTTTTTCAAGATCATTTTGATTTTGATCTTGAACGTGGTAAGTTTCTTTTTGATTTCTCATTCATTCAGACATTCATAATGGCCAAAATAACATTAATTCACTATGATGATCGTGATGAATGTTTGCCACTGTAATCATATCATATCATTACTGGCTACTGGTCATTCATTCATTCGAAACAAGCAAAAAAACATTGAAAAAATTGAATTTTTAATTTTCATATTTCTTCGTTTATTGTTATTAACTACTAATGATGATTATCGTAATCATCATGCTGGTGGTGGTGTTGTTGTTGGCTATTTCGACTCTTGCCAGCCAAAAAAATAGTAAATTTAAATTAATTCACAATGCAAAATGAAATGAAATTTATTATTTACGCTGCTGTAGCTAATGAAACATTTTTTGTTGAGGATGATGATGATCTTTCTGGTTCGGCAGTAGCATCATATTTCCTGACTTTAATGCATTTTGTTTCTGGTGGATATTTATTGTTTTGTTTTGTTTTTGTTTTGTGACTAATTTTAGATTCAAAAAAAAAAAAAACATAATTTCATAATTTTCTCTCTCTTTCCCTGTTTATTCAGTGGATGTTTAGTGCAAATGACGATTAAATTTAATTGACCGTTGGAAAAACAAAAACAACAAAAACAAAAATTACATTAAACCGATGTGATTTGAATTCCAAATTTGATAAAAACAGAGGAAAAAAGTGAAAACAAAGCGAAAATGGACAAAATGAATAAAAAGAGAGATTTTGTTGATGTTTTTTCGTTTTTGCATTATGTTGATTAAATTTTTTAACACGCTGATAGTCCATGTCTTGTTTTCGCTTTTGTTTCTGTTTTTTTTCGCTTAGCAATAATGTCAACTATAGGTCGATTAGCTCCCGTATAATCATCAGTTATTATCAGTTCGATCGTTTTGACTTTTGGCTATGGATGTTTTTTCGCTTAAATAATAATAATGATTATTATTGAACCGATACCCTTATTATCACCCTGAATAATAATTATTCTGATGATTATGATGATGGTAGTAACAACAGCGATTAAAAAATGATGACCAGTAGTATCCATTGATGAGAAATAAGTTGGTACCTAGTTTGTTCATGTATGTGACAGGCCCTTAGCATCAATTATCTTCTTGTTTCGTTTTTTTGCTAGGGTCCATCATAATGATGATGATGATGATGAGAAAAAAAGACCGGAATATAAATTTTCTGTCGTTGTTGCTGGAAACGTTAATAATCATCATCATCATTACAATTAGTTCACGTTCGAAATGTTTTTTCGCTAACATTGCTTATCTGTGTGAAAATGAATGAATGAATGAAAAAAGAAGATTCTCCAGCAATTCTCAACATTAGCATAAATATTCAATCTTGAACTTGATTTTTTGTTTTCTGTTTTGAAATCTTGGCTTTTATTTCAAATCCTTTTCTTTTTCCATTTGGCAAAAATAAAGATTTTTTTTCATAATTTTCTGGTGTAAAAATTCTTCGTTTTTCGCAAAAATCTTTGATGATGATAATGACGACTACGATGATCATCATCATCATAGATCGTGGGTCGTAAAACAAAAATCTAGTTGTTGCTCTTTGATTGTAATTTGTGTTGGCTAAAAATGAATTTCTTTATCATCATCATCATCATCAGCATCATTATCGTTTGTAATTACCCAGATGATGATGATGATGGTCATTTTTTTTCTCTTTTGGATTTTATAAATTACATATGAATATGAAAATATAATTATCATATAATCATCATCATTATTACTATGAACAAAATTCATCCTTGTGTATCAATCGACTGAATTATTATTATTATATAGCAGTAGCCATTATTTATAAATTGGACGACTATTTTAACATCGATCGATGTCCGAGAAATATTATATGTATTTTTCAAAGCAAGGAAAAATGTTTTCTTTTTAGTTTTATTGAATGGGATATCAATGGTACATTTCAAATGTCGAATTGAATTATAATTTTGTTTTTTTCGTTGTTTCTGATTTGATTATCTAAATTTCAGATTCTAAAATAATATTCAATCATCTAGGGAAAATGAAAAAAATCTTTTTAAAAGTTTTTCAAAGAAAAAAATCCATAACATTTGAAATTCTGATGACACTGGATGACACAAAGCTGGACAAGTATGTGTGGAAATATCCAAAAAGAAAAAAATCATCTTAAAAGCATCATATGATTATCATATTGAAAATTTTTGCTAAATTCAATCATCAATTATTTTCTTCATTGATTTTTTCATTGGTTCACAAGTGTTTCACAAAAACGTGTTCAAGCATCGATTACTTTCTTCCATTCTTTCTGTTCTATTCTTCAAATAATGATTTATTTGCTTTGTTTTGTTTAGAAAAGCTGATGATGGTGAACTTTGACACATCCTCTTGAATCGGCTGATCGGTTATTCAAATATGATTTTAAAGAATTTTTTTTGTTTGAAAAAACAAAAACACTCGAATATTCTACAATGTACATTGTGTTTCTCCGTCTTCTTTCACTCAAAAAAGATAACTTTTGAATAAAGAGAAAATCCGATTAGAAAAGAAAAAAACATTTCAATAGTGTCCCAGTAGATTTCTCTTTGTGATTATTGATTGATTGAATGGAAATTTTCTTCATTTTTTTCCTTCCATCATTTGTTTCATCAAATAAAAAGCTCATCGCAGGAAAAAAGTCTTATCCAAATTGCTTTGCTCATCATAATCATAATGATAATGATGATTAAAAATTTTCTTTTTCTTCTTCTTCATTTCGTATGGAGGATGGCTTAAAAAAAAATTTTCGAGGCCTACCTATTTTGTTTTCCCATTGTAAATTCCATCAGCAGCATTAGGCAAAAGTGCAACCAATCGAAATTTCCATCCATTCTTTCTTTCTTTCCGAAAAGGATTAGCCATCTTCTTCTTTTTCTGTATTTTCGAATATTTTTCCATAAAATTTGGAATTAAAATGGAAAAAAATCGAGCGAGAAAAAACCTTTATAGTTTTTCTTCGCTTCAATTTCGATTCAATTTCAGTTTTTGGTTCAGTTCAACAGACAATTATAATCATGTCAGGTTTTCTTCTTCTGTTTCGCGAATAATTCATTCATTTTTGTTTCAAAACAAAAACTGAAAAAAAATGTTTCCAGTTCATCAAAATTCAATTTTTTGTTACGGGAACCATACCAGACGGCATTGTTTTTCTTCGTTTTTCTTTGAAGTTTATTTCAACCAAGAAAAATCTTTTTTGTTTCATTTTTTTCACAATGATACACAGGGGAGAAAAGAAATGATATTTTTAGGCAAAACCCACACACACACACACACCAAAAATGATGTGTATATTTCGAGGTCCGAATAACCGAATTGCATAATGTAGCGAGATGGACTGGTGTAAATGGCATGATCGACCTGATGATGATGATGATCGATTCTGTACCCAGAAAAGATATTTTACCACCTTTGTTTGTTTATTGATGTGTTTCTCTACGACCATCACAAATACACATGGGTATTTTCATTCATCACATCACATCACCAACAATGTTTGGTTGTTTTGAATTTTTTTTTTCCCCGAAACGAAGAAGAAAACTGATTTTCCAAAAATAGTTTTTGGTTCATCATTTATGTTTTCGGTGAGAAATTTGATGATGATATCGATTCCTTTTTTCCACTTGTTTTTTCTGAATGGCGATTTACTTGTGATTGCTTGGTTTGGCATGTCTTGTGTTTCGTTTTTTTAAAGAATTTTTTCTTCTTGTTTCTCAAGTCAATAAGTATACCATCATATTACAGATCCATTAGTGAATTTTCTTTCTTTTTTTTTCGTTTTTGGAAAATGACAAAATACACAGACACAGAAAATGCAGTCAAACATAAATTTAGATTCGACATTAACAAAATGAAGAAATTGTGAAGAAAATTTTTAACTTGACATTTGAGAAGCGAGCGAGTGAGAATAAAGTAACAAATTGAGAAAGAATTTCTTCACTTTAAAGAAATTACGATCCAAAAATGAATTGAATCGAATGTCTTTTTCTGTATATCATAACCTAAATTGTTCTAAATTTGAAAAATCAGATGCAAATTCTGTGTGATTTTTCTGAATGTTGCCAGACATTCATTTTGTTTTTAAAAATGCTGAATGCGTCACATGATTTTTTTTTACTGAAACTTTTGATTGTCGATTCTGTGCACATTATCGTAGTGGTGATGTTTCGTTTTGAATCTTTTTTTTTAATTGTGCGATTTTTTTCCCATCATCGATCAATCAATATAAATTCTCTCTAATTCTGGTTTTGTTTTAAAAAATTGACCATTGTTGTTTTTCGGTGGAATTTTTCGGTTTTCGGAACGTTCCGCATTGTCTGTTTCCGTCGTTACACCGATAAGATTAATTAATTGAATTTCCTCATTTTTTTGTTCAAAATTGCTTGTGTAATTAATCATCAATCATCAGCTCGGTAAACATTTAATCCGATTATCTTTGTTTTTTTTGGCAAATGGCGAATGTTTCAATTAAAAAATTGAATTTTTCCTCTTTACCAATCTGATTAATTCTCTGTTTTTCTCTTCTCTGTTCTTTTTAGATTCCAATGTAGATGATGATTATGAAGATCCTGAATTATCAGCAACAGCAGCAGCAGTAAACAACAACAGCAAATTAACTACCGTATCAAATCATACAAAATTATTTCAAACCGGTAATGGTGGTGGTGGTGGTTGTTCAGCATCAGCAGCGTCATCTGGTTCATCATCAGGACATTCACGTTCAAATCATACACAACATTCAATTGTTTCGGTACATGGTAGTGGTGGTAATAATGGTGGATCATTTGAATCATATCGTCCAATGATTGGTCCATTTGGTGCCGGATCAACTAATACGAATACCAACAATAATAATGGACCACAATCAACAACAACAACAACCATTCCAGAATTATCATCACAAATTTATAATGAACCAACAAATTATTATCAATCTACATCTGATCGTAGTACCAATAATAATAGTGGTGGTAGTAATAATAATAATGTAAATAATCAAACATCATCATCATCATCATTTTTTCATTCAATGCATCCAACTGATCGTACAAATAGAACGGCTGGTCATTTTACAATGCGTTCATCTGGTAATGGTCCAACACAACAACAAACCGCACAACAACAACAATTAAATCGTCATCTTAATTATGATCCACATCAATCAATAATTGGACCAAAATTCTGATCAAATCAAGTCAACCAAAAAACAAAAACTTTGAACTTTATCATTTAGTCGTAAAACCTATTTTTGTATTTATAAACAAATCGCCTCAACCTACATACACCCAAACACACCTTCTTCAGTAGAAACAGAAAGAGAAATAAAGAATCGAATCTTTTTATATTTTCATAAACCAATTCTTTCCTTTGACACCTTCTATTATAACATAGAATTTACCCAGAAAAAAACTATTATTGTAATTTGTAAATAATTCAATTTGTAATTGCACCAATTCTTCTTTTTTTTTCGATTATTATTATTTAACCCTTTCTTTTTTTGTAAACAACAACAACAATAACTACAATTTGAACGTTTGTAAATTATTTTGAAATTTTATTATTATTATTCTGGTCCATTCATACAAACTATGAATCTAATAATCGATCATCAATTTCTTCCGCAAAGATCAAACTTCTTGAATGGATCGAAAGAATGTTATTTTCATTTTCATGATGATCAATTGAATGAATCGAATGAAAATCAATCAACCGAACCAAAAAAATGAATGAATGAATCAATCGCTATGAATGGATGAATGAATTCAGCAAACAAACAAAAAAAAAAATGTTTTTAAAGGTGCCATAAAACACAAGAATTCAAAGATGATGATGGCCATTGCTCATTGTATTGTATTTATATATCACATTTTTTCTGATGTCTGCCATTCTGTAATTTGTTATTGTCATCGATCAACCCCCTCCCGAAAAAACATTGTTTGTTTTTTTTCTATTTAAATTCACTTTTATCAAATTATGTACATTGAAAATGAATTGTAAAAGAATATTTGTATCCACTGTCGTCATATTGTATAGAGAAACAAAAAAAAACCTAATAAAAATTTTGGTTTAATCAATATATTTCCTCGTTTTGCTTTTGCTTTTGCTTTGTTTCAGAATTGGTAAAAAAAATTGAATTTAATGAAAAAAATGGGAAGATTTTCCGTTGAATAATCCATTCAAACCGAAATCAAAACATAGTGGAATGAATTTATTTAACACTGATGACGACGATGGCCAATATCCGAAAGATATGCTCATGGATTATTTTCAATTTGGGATTTTGTTTTTTTTCCGTTTGTCTCATGATTCATTTGGCTTCATTTAATAAAAAAAATTTCTCTGTGTTTTTTTCTTCTCGTTTAGCTTGCTCGTTTAAGAATTTGTTTTTTTTCGCTTTTTTCTCTTGAATTGTTTTTTGGCAAAAGAAAAAAATCGAAAGAATAAGAAATTCATGAAAATGACGATGATGAGATTGAATAATAATGAGAAGAAAGGCTGTTGGAGAAAAACTGGGGAAGAAAACCCAAATTCACAAGAAGAATCAAATTCACAAGGAAAAATTGATTCACAAGAGAGAGAGAGAAAGTGAAAAGAGAGGGGAAGAAAAAATAAACGGAAAAAAAAACTTATAAATTTAGGATTTTCTCTCGTCGATCGTTGTTGTTGTTTTTTTTTCGTTGAGCTAAAGCCAAAGCCAAAGCTAACATAAAAAAATTCAAAGTTTATTCAAGCGTAACAATTGAATGAACAAAAAGATTTTCTCTTTTCGTATTTCGGTATTCTTGTTTGGAAATGAAATCGGACCTTTGCAGAAAGTGGAAATTCTATTTAACATCAAATGAATGGTCCACAAGAATCGACGAATAAAGATGCGCCAAAGTTTGATTTTTGCTGATTTTTTTCGAAAATGTGTTAAGGACTCAATTTATTTATGATCAAGCAAGCCAAACAAACAACTTTTGTTTTTTCTCTTAGTTTTTAAAATTTGCTGTTGTTGTTTTTTCGATCATTCGATCTGATTTTAGAAGGTCTATTGAGAATTGAACCAATTGACGTGAATCCATTCATTCATTTAAACACCCACAAATGTTCAGAGAATATTCTTTGAATTTTGTTTTTGATTCCTTAAATATGATAATGATGATAACGAATGGATATGGATGATTGAATTTTGAAACTTTGAACGTTTCTTCTTTGAACTCTTTGAGTGACAATTGAATTATATTCATCGATCGATTTGATTCTATGATCATTTAGTTCGACCAATGTGAGAAAACTTCTTCAAAAAAAAACAACAAAACAACAAAACAAACCAAAATCATTCTTGTGGAAAGAAACTCTCAAATCCAAGTGAGAAATGAATGAAATTTGTGTTGTTTGGCATAACTGTTTTTTTGGTTTGGTTTGGTTTGTTTCTCTTCTTGAATTATATCCAAAGAATTGTGACATTTTTTTTTTTTTTTTTGAAAAAAAACACAGCAAAATTATTACATTGTCTTAGCCCACCAAAAACAGAAAATTTAATTATATCGTATGGTTGGTTACCAAAATGATCTTGATGTTCATATAATAATAATGGATATGAACATAACTTTTAAGCAATAATTTCAAGTTTTTTCTTCTTCTTCTCGGTTGTCTTCGTTGTTTTTTTTCAATTTTAAAATTTTTCATTTTCTTCTCCACAATATTCGGATAATGGATTTTTCCTGTCTGATTTAATGTTTTTTGGCTTTTCGTTTCTTTATCCATTCGATTATGGCTATCATTATCTTGGATATTTTTTTGGCAAAAGTTTTTTGAATTGTAATCAACAACAGTGATATCATGATCAAATCAGGAGAAATCAATTGAACAGTTATCGATTGGGAATTTTGAATGCTATAATTTTGAAAGAAAATTGTTGGGAATTCATTTCAGGAAACATTTTCGGAAAACATCTACATGTTCGGGAAAAACATGTATTTTATGGAAAAAAAATTCAGAAAAATTTAAATTATATATCCAAACAAACAAACAACGAAAAAGTTAAATTCTGTAAATCATTTTGTGGGAAATATGGAATAATGTCAGAATTACTTTTCTTCGTAATTGTTAGGTATTTTTCATTTGCAAGATTCTTTGGTTGTACGATCCATGCAATGACATTTGTGTTCATTCATTTATTTTATTCGAGGGAAGAAGAAAAATTCTTATAAAGACAACCAAGACCATGTATTCTCTGAATCAAAATGAATTTGATTAATTATTTACTTTGGGTAACACACACAGTTGGAAGTTTCATCTTGAACGAAAAAAAAAATTAATAATAATAATTTTTCCAACGAACAAGACTTTTTTTCATTCATTCATTTACCAATGACTGATGAATATTTTCCAATGGTTCCTTTGGTTTTTAGCTTTTTTTTTTGGTTTGAAAAAGCAATCCATTCGACCGTTTCAATGGCTTGGCTCATTAGTTTGCTTTGTTTTTGATTTTTGATTTTTCGCTCGATTACTTTGCCCACATTGAAATTTGTCACACAATTTATCATTTATTCAGCGAAATCTAACCTAACCTTTTCAACTATCTTTTTGCGGGAAATGTAATAAAATTTTGAAAAATCAATTTTGAAAACCAATGTTTAGGATGACATCTATTGACGCTGATGACAATCAATTTGAATGGGAAAAAAAATTCTTTCATCCATTCTATTTTCTTTTCGAAACACAAGATGGCGCGCGTGTCTAACACGATAATTTTCTAATGAAAGAATTTTTTGAAATTTTCATTTTGCTTTTGCGAAAGAAAAGTCTATTTTGGATCGAAAGATGATAATCATTTTAACTAACCGACCAACGAAACGAAACAAAAAAAATGATAATAAATAAAATCGATTCAAAAACGATTATGTCACCCCCCTCATTTGCCAACAACAACAACAACAACAAAACAAATGTTCTCTATAAATGTCATTATCGATCTCATTAATAAGCTTAACAATCAATCGATAAATCGATTAAACAAAAAAAATACCATTAACAACAACAACGATAACTACAAATAGACAGAAAAAAAAATTAGCCTAAAAACTAATTAATTAACTTTTAATCACCACTATCGCCTTGTTTAATTTGATATTGGAGAATGAAAATGAAATNTTTTTGAATTGTAATCAACAACAGTGATATCATGATCAAATCAGGAGAAATCAATTGAACAGTTATCGATTGGAATTTTGAATGCTATAATTTTGAAAGAAAAATTGCCGGGAATTTATTCAGGAAAACATCTACATTCTTGAATTCAAGAATCTTGAATTTTCATGGAAAAAAATTCAGAAAAATTTAAATTATATATCCAAACAAACAACAAAAAAGTTAAATTCTGTAAATCATTTTTTTGGGAATATGGATAATGTCAGAATTACTTTTTCTTCGTAATTGGTAGGTATTTTTCATTTGCAAGATTCTTTGGTTGTACGATCCATGACATTTGGGTTCATTCATTTATTTTATTTCAAAGGAGAGAAGAAAAATTCTTCTAAAGACAACCAAGACCAAGTATTCTCTGAATCAAAATGAATTTGATTAATTATTTGCTTTGGGTATAACACACAGTTGGAAGTTTCATCTTGAACGGAAAAAAATTAATAATAATAATTTTTCCAACGAACAAGACTTTTTTTCATACATTCATTTACCAATGACTGATGAATATTTTCTCTTGATTTTTAGCTTTTTAGCTTTTTTTTTGGTTTGAAAAAGCAATCCATTCGACCGTTTAAATGGCTTGGCTCATTAGTTGGCTTTGTTTTTTTGATTTTTGATTTTTCTTTTTTCGCTCGATTACTTTGCCGATATCGAAATTTGTCACACAATTTATCATTTTAATTCAACAAAATCTAACCTAACCTAACCTTTTTAACTAATATCTTTTTCGATGTAATGAAAATTTTGAAAAATCAATTTTGAAAACCAATGTTATATAATGATGACATCTATCGACACCGATGACAATCAATTTGAACGAAATTCACTATTTCTATTTTCTTTTCGAAACACAAGATGGCGTGCGTGTCTAACACGATAATTTTCTTATGAAAGAATTTTTTGAAATTTTCTTCTTTTGCAAAAGAAAATCCACTTTGGATCGAAAGATGATAATCATTTTAACCAAACAACCAACGAAACAAAAAAACTGATAATAAATAAAAATCGATTCAAAAACGATTATGTTACCCTCCCCCTCATTTGCCAAAAACAACAACAACAAAACAAATGTTCTCTATAAATGTCATTATCGATCTCATTAATAAGCTTAACAATCAATCGATAAATCGATTAAACAAAAAAAATACCATTAACAACAACAACGATAACTACAAATAGACAGAAAAAAAAATTAGCCTAAAAACTAATTAATTAACTTTTAATCACCACTATCGCCTTGTTTAATTTGATATTGGAGAATGAAAATGAAATGAAATGAAAATTTGTCAATTGGTCCCAGAATATTCCATCCATAACATTTGGATTCTGTTATTAGAATCCAAAAACAAAACTTTCAATCAAATTTATTATATCGATGAGCCCAAAAAGACACTAAAGTTTTCTTCGATATCCCATTAATGTTTGGTATAGTCTATAAATTTCATTTTTTGGGACATTTAAAACCTTACGGAAATTCAATAATAAAATTTGATTAGATTTGATGCACATTTCATCTACCATAACGACCATTTCCATCATCATCATCAATGACAGAATTGATTTCGAAAGTTTCAAACAAACAAACAAAAAAAAAAAGTAAACTTATCAAAGACAATGATGATGTGGTGGTTTGCTTGCTTGCTTGCTTGTTTTGTTTTTCAACAAACTATTTTGTCAGAATTTTGTCAGTACTTTATCTTGATAAATTCCTGATATACAACTGATCACAGTCATTTCTAATTTAAATCTAATAGTGTTATTCTTTTGAAAAAGAAGAAACTTTTTTGCATATCAAAAACTTTTTTTATGTGTGTCTTGGTTGGTGTTTGATGGCTTTAAATCAACTCCAAACACACACACACACACACACACGAACAAACAGAAAAACTTTTCTGGTATTCAAAATGATTCGATTCATTTGATTGATTGATTGATTGAATGAATATGGAGAAAGTGAAATAGCAGTAGCAGTACAGTAGTAATAAAGTCTTAAATCGATATTTCTCTCTTTTGAATATTACATTAATGATTGATTGATCATTTGCAAACGAGAAAAAAAGGAAGAAAAAAACATTGATTTATTCATTATGTTTCAACGAAAAATACACAGATGTTTTTCATGTTATACCAGAATTGATTGAAATTTATTCATACGAAAATCAAATGTATCAATCAAATAGTTTTCGTTGATGTTGATGTGTTTATGGTCGAATGAATTCCGGTTTTTCTTCAAAGATTTGATCATCATTATCGAAAAAAAAATCAAAAATCAATCGATGATCGATTGGTTCATACATAACAATCGATACTTTATCCCTATATATTGTGTGTAGGTGTTGATTAAAAATGATTTTTTTTCATTCATCAAATCAACAAATCATAATCACCACCATCATTGCATTTTTTTGATATTTTTCATATTCATATGATGTGTCAAAAAAACACATTTTGCAAATGATTTTTTCCAATTGATTTCTGTATTTGTCATTTTTTTTCTCTTCTCACACTGATTTTATCCTAAAAGGTCAAAATAGAATCCAAAAATATTTTTTGTTTGTTTGTAATTACCAAATAACGATTCTTTGAAAAAAAACAAATGATGAAATGAACGAAAATCAATTAATTTCTTGTTTTTTTTTCATTACGATTTACTTTTGGTTTTTCGCTTTGCTTTTGGGCTTTTCGATATCCGAAAAAAAATGAACAACCTTATTAGATGATTATTAGCCTTCGGTCATTATTATTTTTTTGTTTCTCTAAATGCTTTTTAAATTTGTCATTTGTCGAATATCATGTAAATTAATGTTTTCCTTTTTCATTACATTTACTTTTATAGTTCGCAATTCAATTCAAATAGTCAATATAGAGAGGAGAAATTGTCATCAATTTCAATTCGTATTTCGAGGTGAAAAAAACATCTATATAATCGGTATTTCTTTATTCATTTGGCCCAATATTGACTGCTACTAAATTTATGATTGATTATTATCAAGAGAATTGAATTGAGTCTTGATTGATTGATTGATTAATGGAAATAACAGCCAACACCATACCAATTACCCCCCTCTCAAACCAAACGATAAAGATGTAAAGATGCAATTTTTTATCGAACATCAGATGTTTATTTGCTTGTTTACACATTCTTTTTTGGTTTAAAAAACTTTCACACAGAAAATTCACTTATTCACTCTCTTGAATTAATGTTTTTTTTTCTGGTTTGTTTTTCAAATTTCCATATGCACACATGCACATCATTCAACCTAACCTCTTATCATCATCATCATTAATAAGTTACATTTGTTACGTAGAAATGAAAAGAAAAGAAAGAAAAAACTTTTTATTGAATATGCCCTGCAGGAAATTCAAGATTGTTACACTTGAAAAAAATATGGAAATGACGAATTATGATAATGATGACGGGAAAGTGAATGAATTTTGGGGAAATACAACCGATCAGCGAAGAGAGAAAGCATCATTATTTTGCTGGCTGTAGAAGATGATGATAATCATGATTGAAATCTTTTCAATTTTGTTTTTGGGGTTGTTTGTTTTTGCTGTTTCATCGATTTTTTTGTTTGTTTGTTTGTTCTTTCTTTCATTGAATTTTCTTTTCTTTATTTTTCAATTTGGATTGAAAATTCTTCTTCACTTCACTTGAATCTTGTCAAATTTCTTGATGATGACGATGATAGGACAGGATCTGAACTGATATTTTGGGAAACTTTCTCGAAGACGAGTCTTATTTTCTGACAAGTGGATTTTGTTGTTGTTGTTGTTGTTGTTCTTTTTGCAGTTTTTGTTGTTCTTGATAAATGATCATTCTATTTTTCAACACAATATTCAAATGAATTGTACAATATATTGCATACAATGTTACAAATATAATGACAATTGTATACCAGAAAAATATATTTGTTAAATCCCATCGATCATCAATAAATTCTGAATAGTTATCATCACTGTTATCATCACTATTATCGTTGTTCATTTGTGAATGCTGTTTTACAATTGAAAAAAGCATTTTGAGGAGAAAAAATAAATTACAAATATCACTTGTAACGAGCAGTTTTAGTTTAGTTTTTAAATAATTTCGTTACAACAATTTTTTTTTTGTATTTAAATTTTATTAATTTTGTTTTTCTTTTTATTTTAATCAAATTAGTTTTACAAGTTGTTCACTCGACTTTATTCTTTTCAATCCAATTTTTATAATAATAAACATTTGTAAAAACATTTATTGAACCAGCTGGACAATATCTAGTACCAAATGAAACAATACCGATTTGTTTTTTACTTTCAGTATTGATTAAAGGTCCACCTGAATCACCATTACAAGCAGAACGATTTGGTGCTGATGCACAAAACATTCCGGGTGTTTTTCTAATATTCAGTTTGGAAATATATTCCGAACATTCGGTTTCATTCAAAACATTTAATGTTGTTTTTTGCATTTTGGTTGCCGGTTGATTACCATTACCATCGGTTAATCCAAATCCATATAATGATGCATTTGTACCGGCTGAAATTTCTTGATCTGCTAATTCAATTGTTTGAACATTTGAACCAGGTTTAATTGGATTTTTCAATATAAACAATGCAATATCATTTTGTACAGTGGATAAATCAAATTTTGGATGTGGTTTCATCATTTTTACTTCAACATCTGGATATTGTGACCATAACAGACTATTACTTCCATAACGAATTCGATAATTTGTAAAACTTTTTTGTTTGTTTGACAGATTAATCAAGGGTTAATAGAATTATTGATTTTTTTTTTGAAAAATCTAAAATTACTTACTAATTAACACAATGTGCAGCTGTTAATACTGTACGTGATGTAATCAATGAACCACCACATAGAAATCGATTACTAAATAAAAATCTACGAAATAATTGTGCCATAAATGGTGCTTCACCTGGTTCAACTTCAACACCGTTAATAATACGATTTGGTATTTTTGTTTCCGTTGTCGATGATGATGATGATGATGATGAGAGTCCGGTGTTAAGATCATTAAGATATTGTTTCAATGATAGATCAGCTAACCAACCGATTGGTGATTCATTACCACCATCATATACCAATGAATTTATTTCCATTGAATAACATGATGTTGTTGTTGCGACAATCATCAACAAAGCCAACAAGGGAATCGAATTGAATGAAAACATTTCAGCAGCAGATTAAATCAGATTTTGGAGATTAATTCACAGGTTAATTAAAATGTCGGTAACGATTAATGGAATAGCAAACGACTATCATCGCGTATTTATATATGCAGTTTAGGCAACGAGTAACAAAAAAAGGTTTAAATGTGATCCACATTTTCAGGTAATAAATATCCATTTATGATTCTTTCAAACTCAAAAAAAACATCCCATATAGTAATCATTGTCCAAAAAATCAAATGACCATGATTTTTTTTGTGTGTTGTGTTGCCCGAAACTAATTGTCATTGAATTTTTTCCCCATTAACAAACAAACAAACATCATCTTCTTTATTGGTCACAAGGTCTTTCCTGATAACACAAAGAATTGGATTAGAAAAATGCACAAATCTTTAACCAACAACAAAAAAAAACAAGAAACAAGAAATAAAACATTTGCCTTGTGATTAATAAACATCAAAAGCATCATTTACGACCATCATCGTAATCATCATTATACTGGCCAACAATTGATAATATTACATTTTTACAAATTTCATTGTTGATTTGGGCCTGCAATAAAATAAAAAATTATAAATGACCTACATTTGTAAATTACAACCAAAAACCAAAAAAACTAAAAAAAATTACTTTTATCGACCTAGATTTTTTTTATTTATCTGTCTCATTATTGGCAATGGCTGTACTGTGTTTTTGATTGTATTTTTTTTTCAGTCGGAAACCGGAACAAAGAAAAGTTTTAGCCAAAAGAAATCCAAACGAAGAAAATCCTATTTAGAAATTCATATCACTTTCTTTCCTTTTTTGTTTTGTTTTGCTGCTGTTTTTCGATTCTGCAGAATAATCGAAATTCTGACCAATATGGAAATTTGAATATAGGAAAGAAAAATGGAATCTTATCAAATCAACAAAACAAACAGAACGAAAAACAGATTGAAATTGTCAACATTTTATTATTATTCGAGGAAATGAAAAATTTCATAAATTGTATCCATTCTGTTGCTGTTCGTAGAACTAAAATGGCACATAAACTGCAGAATCGAGAAGAGATTTTTTTCACAGAATTCGACCCAATTTACATATATCAAATACGAAATGTACAACAACCAGAATTTTTTGGACCAGAATTTCTATACACACCAAAATCATCATCATGAATATAAAATATCCTAGAAATCTCTCTCATTGTTTTTTCTTCATATGTTTTTGTTGATTTACTTTGAAAGCAAATTTGAAATATGATTCACACAAAGAAACAGAAACAGAAACAGAAATGAAAAAATTGGAAACTCAAAATGCTCAACAGCAGGTTTAATATTACTTTCAAAAGCAATTTTTTTCGTTGAATATTTTATTTCTTTTTTTTCGTTTTTTGCTTGTCGAATATCAACAACGGAAAAAAAACTGTAATTGGAATGGATAATGTGCGCATATCTTTTGTTTTTCCCCCTATGTATCCATCTACCCATCATTTATTATCTTTATCACCGAGAAAAAAAATTCGGATTTTTTTCGGTTTTTTTCCTTGGGTTGTGTGTTCCATAAATCTCATTCTGTTTTGTTTTGTTTTGTCAGTCGATTGATTGTATGGATTTTTTTCTGGTTTCTGGGGAAAAAAAATTCAAGTTGTTTTCTTTTCCCTCCGTCCATCCATCCAGACTGTATCTTTGTTTTTTTTGCTGTTTTTTGGTTTCCCCTCTAATTAATATGGAACCGGACTTTTTTTTTGTTGTTGTTGCTGTTGTTGGAGAATGAATTTCACAAAATTTCATTTTTTTTTCTTCTAGTCGGTTAATTGCATCACAATTCTGACTGACTGACTGACTCTGACTATCTCTCGGTTTTTCTCCATTTTTTTCTTTCTAATTTAAAAGTTGAAATTAATTTTCCATTTTCACTTCGGGTCCTTCTTTTTTTTTTGTTTTTGAAAAAAGAAAATTTCTGTGCATGTTTGGAATGAATCCGAAAACAGAAAATTGAAAATTTCATTATTTTATTTTTTGAACAAGAAAAAAAAAGAAATAACCCTTTTGCACCCATTTAATTTGATTTTTCTCACTTGATTTTTCTTCTTTTTCCCTATATCAAATATAATGTATAGTAACTAATTGATCACTTGAAAAATTTACTTTTTTTCCAGTTCGTTGTTGTTGTTGTTGTTGAATTTTTTGATCAAAATAATTTCTTGACAACAGTGGATAACCTTCTTCTTCTTCTTCATCATAATCAAGTTGTAGTTTTTTTGGTTGTTCTTGCTGTTCAGCTAATGATTTTTTCTTCTTCTTCTTATTCATCATTCGTATTGGTCGATTTAATATTGATTTCATTCGTTTTAATCGTCTTTGTAGTTTTTTACTTTTACTTTTACTTTTACTTCGATCATGATGATGATGATGTTTCTTTTTTTTCTTAATCATCTTTGAATCTGTTGCTGTCGTTAATGATGATGAATGTTGTTGTTGTTTCTTTTTTCTTTTAAGCATTATTTTTTCTAGAAATTTTCTACGATTTTCACTTGTTTGTAATTGATTTGGTTCAATATCATCAATATCATCTAAATCATCAATGATTTTCGTTATTTGTTTATTTGTTGGATGATTATTTATTAATGTTGATTTAGAAAATAATCGATCATATTGTTCATCACCATCTTCATCATTCAAATCAAGCTGCTGTTGTTTTTGTCGTTTAGAATCACAAATAGACATTGTTGTTGTTGTTGTTGTTGTTAGTGTATCAGATTCGCTACTAGCTAAATCAGGAATATTCTTATCCCGTTTTTTCTTCTTTTTATGCTGGTAATATCGTTGTTTCTGCTTTTGTTGGGGATTACTTGAAGCTAAACTATTGCTTGTCAGCGACGATGAATTATCGGACATCAATTGTTGTTGTTGTTGTTGATCGGTTATTGTTGTTGTATTCAGTAAATCATTTGATTTTGATGATTGAATTTTATTTGTTGAATAATGTATAAAAATCAATACAATAATAATCATTATCAATAATGTTATTAATATTGATAATAATGCAATTAGGCCAGTTTTATGCATAACCAATAACATTATGACTAGTAATAAATATACATTAAATGGTAGAAAAAAATTGTTTACAACAACAACACCATCAACATTATGTTCATGTTGATGTTGTAAACGTTGATGTTCATGATCTTCATGATCTTCAATCGGTAATGCTAATGAAAATTTAAATAAAATAATAATCAATAATAAAATGATTGATTGATTTTTAGCCAACATGATTTTCGTTTTGTTTTTTGAAACAGCTTTAATCAACAAATTGATTGATTGATTTTTATATAAAAATTTTTTTATCGATAATTTTCGATAATTGAATTTTGAATTTTGAAATTTTCAAAAAAATTAATTTAATAAATCAATTTTTGAAAATAATTACAAACATAAATTACAAACATTCAACCCAGAGTTGATCCACAGTTTCAACACTCAGTTTCCATAAATTCACACCAATTTTTGTTGTTGTTGTTGTTGTTGAAAATCCAAAGTTACCAGTGACGACCATCATTAACAACAACAGCAACGACAACAACTACGAGATGAAATTATTCATTACAAGAATTACATTATGACATGAATTTTCCTTCATTCACTGGGCGTCGGTCTCTCTGTGTTTTTACAATATTTCATTCATTCGCAAAAAACACACACCAGAATAATAATAATAAAACAAAAACCCAGAACCAGAACCAGAAATACAAGAATTTTTTTTTCTTTTTCAAATATCATAGTGAAACAAGAAAAAAAGTGCATAGAAACAACAGTGAAACAACCGAACGGTGATCATTTTCTGATCAATCCATTGCATCAATATGTTTTGGGCTTGCCAGAAAAAAAACAAACAATGATGACAGTCAAAATTCCCGGGAAAAAAATTAAAAAAAAAACTTGTGAAATGGAAAAATAGGCGCGAGAAACGAAAAAACTATTTTAATGTTTTTCCGTTCCGAAATTGATAATTTTAATAACTGGAATTTCATTTGAAAATGAAAAAAACTTTTTTGTTTGGATCGATTCGGACAAAACAAAACAAGAAAAATTCATTTTTTTTTTGGTTCGTCAACCAACCGAATTTAACACAGCTTGGCCATCATCACACAAATAAACACACACACAATGGATCCAAAATAGGCAAAAAAAATGACTGGCTCCATCATCATCATCATTATCAACAGCAAACGTGAAAAATGGAAAAAACGTGAACATTATTCGCTGTGTTGAATGTGAAGAAAAAAGGTTGATTGCATTCATCAACATTCAGATCGAGATAAAAGAAGTGGTGGTGGTTGTTGGTTGAAAAAAAAATCTTCAGAAGCAAAATATGCTTCAGTTACCGCCGTCGTCGTAGTCATCATCATTATCGTCGTTGTTGAAACCACAGAAAAACTGAGAATTTATCCAAATGGTTTTTTTGTTTCTGGTTCGAGTTGAATTCAAAACAAGATTTTGGGCTTTTCTAGAAAAATAATTTAAAACGGAAATAAGCGAGTAAATTAGACGCTTTTTTTTGCCACTAGTTTTTCTACGCTAAATTAACCTTAAGTTAGCTTAAGAGTTACCCCATCCATCCATCTGTGTGTTTGTTGGTTACTGTTTTGTTTTGTTTTGTTTTTTGTTTCCTTTCATAATGACAATTCAAACAAACAAACAATAAGGAAGTAATTGCATTGTCGCAATATTTTTGCTTTTTTTCTTTCTTTCCAAATGAAATAAATGCATGCTTTTGTTTTGTTTGAGTTTTTGAGTTTTCCAGTTTTCCAGTTTTTCAAAATTTAATTCTGATGAAAAAATTAGCAATTTTTTCATTAGTTTGATTGAATCAATATCGAAAAAAAACAATCAACTTTCCCAACGACCGACGACGATTGATGACTTGCCATTAATTCATCATCGACCATCATTGAACCAAGAAAATTGTATCGGCCATTTTCAACATTTTCAACATTTGATTCCATTGATAAAATATTAATGTTATTCGTTAAATAAATGAAAAAAAATCTGAAGAACTGAATTATTGATTTTTAACCCTGTGT